ATTAAGCCCCTACTTAATTTCCAAGACCCTGGACTGAATGCCTGGACTTATTTTGTGGAAGCTGTGAAGCTCTGCATTCCACACAGAGCTGCCATTTCTATACAGGGAAGCAACACATCTTGAAGAACTGCTGAAGAATGGAAATCAACTGTACTGGTTTGTGCAGCTCTTGGCCTGTGCCACATGCTGAGCCAAGAATGTAACATGGCAAGGGTTACATCCCTTAATTTTTGCTTCACCAAATAATCAGCTGCATAAACACTACTTTACTTTTTCTAAACAATCCATTGCTCTTACTTATATCATGGCTATGTTGCTATAAACATAGCTGTTGCAGTGTTTATGCCTGCAGTCTCCTGCAGCAGAATTCCTGCAGCAGCAATCAAAAGTTGCTGTTCACTGGAGTAGTGAAAACCCAGCAAAAGACTCGTGACTGACGTGTGGGATCAGATGATCAGTTCATTCAAGATTAGAAACACAGTGAGGAAAAAATCCATGCAATTACCTTCCCCTCCTTTGACAAGGAGGGAGGAAAAGAAGGGATCTGAGTACCTGTAAAGAGGGCGTGGTAATGCAGACCCCTCTCTTTATCCCGATGAGAGCAGACATCAAATAAATATGCTTTGATGGGGCCATCAATAAAATCAGCTGCAAAATCAAAAAGCACTACTCCCAGCATGGTAATGACTATTGCCCATGTCCGCTTCTTGTCTGTCTCATCGATGAAAGCTACAAAAAGAAAAACACCCTCATTCTGACAGCAACAGTACCATGTTCCACAAAACCACATTTTATCTTTCCTGATAGCTCCAATCCAAACAATGCTTAGTTATGCACAGGAGAGCAGTGATACCAGAATCACATCAGAGAGGCAGGATGTCTGAGCCGTGCTTGGCTGACTTACTGCCTTCAGTCAGCACAAGCTCAGGGTACTCCAAGCTCCTCAATCAAGAGCATCATTAGCCTTAATCTACTCCTTTGCACATCCATGGCATGCTCTGGTAGCCTAACACACATGCATTTTGTAGTACGTCTTCAGTTTTTGTTTTATTCTACTTGTCCCACCTTCCACTGTGTTAGGTAATCAAATGTTGACTGCAACATCTCTTTTTGGGCAAATGAATACAAGTATATTCAACACCAATGAAGAGAGAATAAATCAATCCATGCGAAGACATGCCTCCCCCCTCTGCCAGGTCATAATGACAGAAACAACTTCCCATCAAGACTTTGAGAAGTTACATCTCAAGCTGAGGCATACATCAAATACAACAGGATCTAGGCATGTCACTACTATTTCATTTTGCACAGTCCAGGTGTGACACGGTTTCCAAGGAGTTGCTGATTTCTATTATTCAACAGCATAATGCATTTCCAAGATGAGTCATTGCTGCAGTAATTAAAGATACATATTTTGAATGCTAATCCATCTAAAAGAGGGATTAGCAGATACTCAGTTTCGATATGTATTACATCAAACAAACAATCTGCATCTTTTAACTTAAAAAGGTAGGTTTTAGTTCTTAAGAAACTTCTCTTTGCCTAAGCAGGACTTGACTTGTATGAGCTGGTTCAGGCAACCCCACCAACCATCTGTAATCACATGCACAAACTACTGAAGACAGGGTACAGCAGGACTCAGCCTACATGAGAACTGCACTGTTCCTCAGCTCTCTCAGTGCTGCTGGCACCCCATTTTAACCCCCAAATTTGAGGCAGAAATAAAAGGGCCCCCTCTTTTCATTCAGATTCAAAAGCTTTGTCTGTCAGCAAAGCGTGTGCCCCTCACTTACCTGAGACCATCACGTCCCCATTGAGGTACAAAGCCATGCCTAACAGCATTATGATGCCCAGACCCAGAATGAAAGGTCGCCTCCTTCCCCAGCTACAGGTGCAGTGATCACTGGCTGAACCTACCACGGGCTGCAGCACGAAGCCCAGGATGGGGCTGATGAGCCACACCAGGCTGTAGAGGTTCTTGGGCAGCCCTACACTGAGCAGCACCGGCGTGACAAAGGCAGCTTCCACGGCGTAGCAGAACTCCCGGCCGAACATGGCCATGCTGTGCATGACCAGCCTCCCCGCCGCGCGCTTCCGCGGCACCACTGCCCCAGTCCTCATCAGAGATTTCAGCAGAGACGCCTCGTTCTCTCGAGTACTGTCCATCTCGATGCTGGCCATCTGGGAAGCGGGTGGAAGGGCACTGTGGAAGTTCTCTTTTGCTAAGGTCATGGCTCTGGCTACGGGCCGCGCGCCGGCGAGTCGCTGCTGCCTGCCCCGGCTGACATGGAGCCCCGATCATATGCCGGGGGGATCGGTCTGTGCCGGGGGAGGGACTCACATACTTTCATGGCTCTGCGATCACAAGTTATGAAAGGAAGGGGGTGGGGAAGTGTGTGTTAACATTGGCAGATCTGAGCTCTTGGGCGTCTGCAAAGCTCCCAACTATCCACAACTGAAGAACTACTGTTTAGGCGTGAAACGCACATATAGCGGGAACATCCATCACATGGGCCAGGCACAGGATGAGCCTGACACAAAGCTGTTCCTCTTGCTGCTGCAAGACAGGAGTGATGCCAAGAACCAGAGCCCTCAGCTTTCTGTTCAGCAGACAAGAAGAACAGCATAGTGCCAGTTTCCTGGTGATCAAATGGGGAGAAGAGTCTGTAATACCAACCCAGGATAGGATTTCTCTGCACTTCATGAAAGTGAACCTACCTATTGCCCTAGAGTGTCAGTGTCAGATAAAAAGCTTGACAGAAGCTTGCCAAACTGCAGCTGGTATTTTTTTTAAACAGTCTTATCAGCCAAAAGAAGGTTTTAAAATAAATCTATAGTGACATTGTACCTTTCAGGTCAGGCACCTGAGTGAGGCAGCTGATCCTGCTTATGCTGGATCACAGAGCAGTCGGAGTTGCAAGAGACCTTTAAAGCTCATCCAGTCCCACCCCTACCCTGCCATGAGCAGAGATAAGGTTGCTCGGAGTCCAGTCCAACATGATCTGGAATGTTTCCAGGGATGGAGCATCAACCACCTCTCTGGGCAACCTGTTCCTGTGTTTCACCACCCTCATCGTAAACAATTTCCTCCTTCCATCTAGTCTAAATCTACCTCTTTTAGTTTAAAACCATTACTCCTTCTCCTATCACTAAATGCCTTGGTAAGAAGTCTGTCTCCTTTCTTTAGTGTGAGGGTGACAGAGCACTGGAACAAGCTGCCCAGAGACATTGTGGAGTCTCCTTCTCTGGAGACTTTCAAGATCCACCTGGATGTGTTCTTGTGTGATCTGCTCTAGGGGTTCCTGCTGCAGCAGGGGGGTTAGACTCAATGATCTTAAGAGACTCCTTCCAACCCCTATGATTCTATCATCTTTCTTATAGGCCCATTTTCCCTATTGAAAGTCTGCAATAAGGTCTCCCTGGAGGCTTCTCTTCTCTGAACAACCCTGACTCTCTCAGCTCGTCCTCATAGGAGAGGAGAAATGCTCCATCCCACTAATCTTTTTTGTGGTCCTCCTGTGGACCCACTTCAACAGGGTTTTTCCTGTGCTGAGGACTTCAGAGCTTGATAAAGAACATTACTCAGGTTCTCACCAGAGCAGAGTAGAATCACCTCCCTTGACCTGCTGGTCACAGTTCTTTTTGCCGCAGTCCAGGACATGGTTGGATTTCTGGGATCTGGACACACATTGCCAGCTCATGTCCAGCTTTTCATCCACCAGTATGTGTGTTAGGGCTAGGCTCAATTCTTGAGCTTGTCTAGGTTCCTCTGAATGACATCCCTCAGGCATGTCAGCTGCACCACCCAGCTTGGTGCCATCTGCAAATCTGCTGAAGGTGTCCTCGATCCCACTGTCCATGTCATCAATGAAGATACTGAACAGTGCTGGTCCCAATATGGCCCCTAAGGTTAATCCCTTAAGTATTAATACAAGTTATCAAAGTGATTTGTGCAATTTTAGGTGCTCTGGGACTAAATGTGACAATGTTTATTGTTCTCCAACATCTGATGCAAATTGTCAGATCTTACTGTAGTGCATAATATTCAGTAATTTACATTTGAGTGATTAACAACCAGAAATTTAAGATGCCTTTGCTGATTGTTTATCCATTTTGTCAGGACCTACTAGGTAATTCTTGCTTCCAGGCAAAGATTTATGTAGTAGAATGTAAAAAGTGTGGGATTTTTAGAGTGACAATGCTGAAATTTTTGCATTACACATGTAAAATGAGCCAAAGTAGATTTCAGCTTTGGAAGCCTTTGTAAGCAACCAACCAATCTTCAGCATGGTAAACACCTTGACAAAATTACCAAAAAACCTCAACCCCTCATATCATAATTCCTGACATGTCAGGCTAAAGAAAACTGTATTAAGGCCATATAACTAAGTATTTTTTAAGGTGTAATTTATTTATTTCTTGCCTTGAAGAAGGCTGTTTCAAATAAAGACTTAATTTTAAATTATAACCACTGTGGAACAAACAGTGTTTAAAACCCACACAGCTAAGTTGCCTGCTATTTCTCCAGAAAGGGAGGGAAGGATTAATACTTGGCAGCTATTTTAAAATAACTAATTTTGTTCTGAAGATGTTTTCTAGGCAAACTGAAATTCCAAATGTAATGTAATTGGGAGACTGCATTAGGAAAATGTAGTGAGGCTATTAAGTAGAATTTATGACAATAACTCTACAGCAGCATATAACAAAACAGCATTATTTTGATCACTAATTTGGCTTGATAAGGCAAATGAATTAATGTGATAAAATGGAGGAAAAAACTTCCTTCTAATCTGTAAGTAAACAAAACAATCACTTATTTAGGAAGAATATAGCTATATTTAATGCAAAGTATTGTCCTCATGTAATGACAACATATAAAGCATTGGTGTAAATAAGAATCAAAAGAAAAAACATTTCATAGAATATTAAAGAGGTATTTCATAGAATATTAAAGAAACATTCTGAGGCTTTACAGCTGCTTACTAAGCAAACTGTGTAGAACTTCAGAACACAATTTTGGTATCATTCTAGACTGGAGACCATCCAGCTACATATGTATATATCCCCACTTTTTTCAATTAAATTTAAGATTTCATTAATTTTAAAAAATAATAATAAAAGCTATGTCATGCAAATATTTGTCATACAATTCCATTTTAATGCATAAAAATCTACTGTATCAGCCTGACATTTGTCTGATCTGCATAGTTACAGATTATAAACTAGCTTTTGGTTTACTGAATTCTATTACTTTATCAGAATGTAGTTTAGTAATCTCCTCCTTGGTAAACCCACATTCTAGCAGTATCTCTTCCGTGTGTTCTCCTATAAAAGGATCTCTTTTTAATGACGGAACAGCAGGGGTCCTTGATAGACGAGGAGCAGGTCTAGGACTTATTTCTTCCTGATCGTTTTTAAAAAAAGAACTTCTTTGTTTGTTATGCTGATGTGAGGCAACTTCATCAAAGGATAAAACAGGGGTCACACAGGCATCAGTACCATCAAATATGCTGCACCACTCAGCTTGTGTCTTCTGTGCAAATACAGATGCAAATTTTTTCTTCATTTCAGGCCAGTCAGAGAAACTCAACTGACTGGGGAGTTTGTCTGAATCTAGACCAAGACCTGAAAGGAGAAGAGCAGAGTTCAGATGTAGCATAGCTCAAGTAAATTAAAGTGCTGCCTGCAACTGTGTTCATTGAAAAGCTTGTGTTTTGCAGGCAGTCCAACATAGCAGGGCATATTAGCTAAAAGGCACTTCAAACTTTATCACATCTATGATTGAGGGGGAGAGAAAAGAAGAATAAAATGTTCTATTACTTACAATTAGAGCAAACTGCATCAGCTGCAGCCTTTTAATTAAATACATGTGATAAACACTCATTTGTATAAACACTTCAGCAGAGCAGCAGCTGCCTAGAGATAACATTTTGTCCTGAGGCCATTTTCTATATTCTCTACCTGGCCGTAGCACACCAAAGTCTGCTGGATTACAGCACCCTACTTATCTAACAGGAGCCAGTACATCTGCCAGCAGGTGACATTCAGCAGGCTACAGTGTGTCCAACACAATCAGTGTATTTCCAAGCCAGAAATGAGAAGATGGTGTGGATGGATACACCCCTGCTCCATGTGCAGAGGGCAGCTCAGCTGCAGGTGCAACCAGACTAACTCATGTCTCTCAAAATGGACTCCAGCAGTGTTTGCTGCTCTCCTCTTCAACACATCACCCAGGCTCCAACTCTCCACTGCTGTTCTTTTGGAAAAGTGAAACCCATAGTCCTCACACTCACTGACTGCTTAAGAACTCTGCCTTGCAGAAGATCAGCGCATGGGCCACTTAGGTATCCAACGCACACATCCCTTCTGAGGCACAAGAGCAGAAGATGGGCACACAGGCTTTGTACTAAAAATTTAATCAACTGGGAAAGTCCCAGATTCTCCTCCTAACTAAGCACCACCTTCCCTCTCATTGGTGAGCCTACATCTCTCCCTTGCAGCCAGCTTCCCATCTCTGTTTCTGTTGTAATCTCTGCACTGCCCACCCTTCCATTCTCCAAGAATTGTTATTCTGGTTGGGTTTCTCTCAAAAAATAGGTAAGAAACAAGGAATAGAGAAAGCAATACAACCACATTTTCAAAATGGAGATAGTACAAACACAGGGACAGAGTCAATGATATCAAATAGAAATCAGAAGTAGTATATTGAAGGCTGTCCACAAAGTCACATTTTGAAAATCAGGAGCAGGAAAAGTTAATAAAAAGCAGGGCTAAAAAATAAGTTAATTTGAGAAATGAGAAAACCTAGAGAACAACTATTATCATAATGATTAATGAACAAGACAAAAAGGGAGCTGCTTATACAACAACAGCTCCATGTAAAAGGCTGAGAAAATGTGGAGCTTTGCAAACATTTATTTTTGAGCATCCTGGTATCTTTGGGTATCTGGTATCAGGTTGGTGATTTGACTTGCTGCTGTTAACAGGCTTGGCTACTAAGAGCCTGTTTGCAGGCAGAATTTACACAGAACGCCTTTAATCTTTAGCTGGAGATAGGCAAAACAACTTTCTGTATCTTCTATTACTACAGCTTCCTTCTCACTGAGAGAGGCAGAAATATAACAACTGAATAGAAGAAAGGAAGATAATGCCTATTCTTCCACTCTCTTAAGTTCTTTCCGCTCATAGTCTCTACTACAGGCACTTCTAGAGGCTCATAGGCTCCCCTAAGT